TGTTGCCAGCTAAAAGATAATCGCCCATGCAGTAATTATCCAATAGGAGGCTCGTACCTATTTGCTTAGTTGAAACCAGGTGGCGACTTTTTTTTTGGCCAGGCAGTGTATTTTATGTGATTTGAATCAGAAGCATTTTGTAGTTAAAATAAATCAAGCATAACTCACAGTGATAGAAAAACAAAGCTTTGACGATAATCTACTAAAAACATGATTGTATTCCAGAGCATTGACTATAAAATTATTTGGCCTAGAAACAAAAGGGCTGTATACTAGTGAAACACAGAGAATGCATGGTGTTTTGAACGTTCTCTGGTGAGAAAGAAGGGTTTGACTGACCTTTCAGTGTCATCATTGCCTTCAAATTCAATATATTACAAGTTTGCCGACATCCAGATATTGTTTTAGGTTGTGGAGAATCTAGGAGGATCATTCAGTGTTAATGTTATACGTTTCATTAGGAGATGTTGAAATGTTCAGACACAGCAGGCTGCTTTAAATTGACTTTAGAATCACTGCATTAATTTGTCATTTTTATTGTATAAAAATAATGTGTTCAAGGTTCGAAGTTATGTTAACATTATGATGATTATTATGATGATTATTGTTCTATCAGGTATTATTTTTTATTTCTTCATATTTTCATTTTAATTGACAGCAAGAGACAATATGACGTGAATGCTGACTTGATTTGGTCTTACACCAGGATTTACATTGTGAAACATTTTAGATCTGGCTCAACTTTATTTTTCTTGACAAACCAGGGGTTTATATATGCATCTGTCTTGGTGCATTTGTTCTAAAATCGTCATACAACAGTTAGAATGTGATGCTTTTTGCATCCCCCTGTTAAATGAGCTGCGGCGATGATTTTATGCATTAAAAAACTTCCTAAGCTAATCTTTAATGTTGCACATTTAGAGCTCCTTTGGTCCCTATGCTGTATTAACTGTAATTTGAGCCATTTGCCAGAAATTTGGAGGCAATAAAAAAAGGAGATGCAGTAGGTCATTTAGTCAGCAGTTAAAAATCTTTATGACTTCACATTTATTTCACTTTTGCTGAAATGACAAGAGCGACAGATCAGGACGAGGCACTGCTGCACTTTAATATTCACATTCATCACGACACATTCTGTCATGAGACTCTGTAGAGTTGGTGCAGTTTTAATTCGTGTGCTCTTGTAATGTAAAGCAGTTGTAATGCGCCTCCCCCCCCACTTTCTGTCTACTGCAGCAGCTGCTTCTACGGCTAGCTTTCGCTAATAATATTCTGTCCTCAGGCTATGGCCTAATCACCGCTTTAGCTTCCTCTCCCTCTTTCTCCAAGTTTTCTTTTTTTATTCTTTGCTTTTATCAGAGGGTACTAGGTTCTGAAATAAGTCGTCCTCCTAAGTCCTCGTCTTTGTTTCTCCCACCAACACACCTTCCGGCCTTCCTGGCATTGGCTCTCTTCTTGTTTCATACGCTTCAGGTTTATCTGGCAGTTTTAACCCTCTTCCTTTCTCCTTTTCCAATTATTCCTCTCTGGTGTCTTCCCTTTGAGGCGTGGGACTAGTCCTCTCTATAGATGGGTCTCAGTAACAGTGGAGGTCAGACTTCAGTCATTCAAGGTGTTCTGCATTTACATATATATAAATACCAGAAACACAAGGGCAGAAACATCTTTAAGGGAGGAAATATTAAATGAATACACCAATTGAGTTAAAAAAATCTCATCAAGCTAGTAAAGAAGGCTAGCTGTTCTGAGAACTCCTCTACCACCTTTGGGGATGATTTAACAAAACAAAGCCTTCCTTAAATGAATAATGTTTTGGACAACCCTAAGCATTCTTCACATCATACTATTTTACAGCAACAGATTGTTTGCAGTAAGAGGCTTTTCCAGACCCATTGTGAGACAGAATCCTACATCATTAGCATTTGCAACTCATTGAGAAACCCATATTAGAGTTGAAACACCATTTAATTTCCCTTTTGGATCAATAAAGTATTTTTTAATTTAATTAAATTAGAAATACGACATATTAGTAGACATCTTAAGCTACCAAAAGGCTTCAGGATAAGACAAAAATATAGGATTAGGAAATAAATTAGCTTACGGTAAGTATGGTAAAGTCTCCCTTAAAAAGCAAGTTTCTAAGTCAATTAGGTGGTCAAGACAGCAAAAAGGAAACTAGATAGATGATAAACCTGCTTTATCTTGTAAAATCTCGGATGGAAAGGCATCCATTTTCTATGGTAAAAAGATATAAACGAGGTTGATGTAGCCACCTAAAGACACTTTTCCTATTGACCTATTTAAAAGCAGGCTAAACATTTTATGTTTTATGTCAGTTAGGATTACCAAAATATCTGTTAAAAAATACAAGAACAGTGATTTTCTTTTTCTTATATTTAAATGTAAAACTTTCCTTAGTATTTAGTAAAACTCCCCTCTAATCTTTATAACCTAAGTGAAAATTTTGCATACTTCTTTAGTGGTTTACTGTAAATTTGTCCCTCTCCTCCTGTCAGACCGACTGTAACTCAGTCATGTTTGAAGGTTGGTTTTCCCTCGCACGCCTTTTCAGCTCTGCACTCAACCAGACCTTTCCAATGGGCTGTGATCAGGACTTTTTGAGTGACATGTCAAAACATTAACCTTGTTTTCCTTAAGCTGTGTAAGCAAGTAATCATGGCGCCTCGGGTTACTGTTCATTTGGGAGACCCATGTGTGCCCGAGCCTTAAACTCCAAGGCTGAATCCTTCAGATGTTGCCTTAATTTTTCTTCATTATGTTCATTATGCTAAACCAAGCTCTGTTTTATCCAGATTAAAAACCCATTTGTTTACAGATACTTTTTACTGTTCTATATGGATTAATAATTAAAACCTTGTTTATTTCACTCTGTGTTAAAACTTTCCTTTACAATGCTGTTGTGATGTACATTTTTGTTTTTTTTTATTTCTTTACCATGTAAAGCACTTTGAATAAACTTGTTATTGTAAATTAGGCCCATGCATATACTTTCTATGCCTTTCCTCTTGATCCAATCTATTTTTATAAGTGCACCAGTCCCTCTTTCAGTAAAATACCCAAACATTATGATGATGCTAGTACGACTGGACTTTACAGTAGGGTAAGTGTTTACAGGCTTGCAAGCTTTCCTCTATTCTTTCCCACTATAACAATGGCCATTATAACCAACACTTTAGAATTTGGGAAGCAAGTTATCATTTAGGTTATTTAATGTTGACTGATCTGATTTATCCACTAATGACATTTTCATTAAAATAGGGTGACCATATTTTCATTTGGGAAAACCAAATGAAAAAATGTTTAACAATTCCTGTAATGAATGAATAGCACAATGAAAGAAATAATGTCTCATCTAAACATCCCTCACTTAACAATAAAAGTTAACAATAACTCTCAACTCCCAATAACAGATGATACTCAGCCTCAGCAATGAACGAAATAATGTCTGTTCTGTAGGTTATTGGAAAAAATAAATTGACAAATTAGCTAATTAACAAAAAATACCTCTTTTGTAGCAAAAACGTCCCAAAATGTACCAAAAACGAACAAACATATCAATAGACTATCATTACTTTCGGTGTCCAGGTGGCTTTTCAGATTTCTTGCACCTCCATTGGACACAGAGACATATGTGCACAAGGCCTCCCATTTGTCTCGACCCAGTCTGAAAGCGGGGAAACTCTTTTGTAAATCATCGGTAAACATACATTTGCGCGTTGGCATGTTGTTGGCGTACTGACAGCCACACTATCTCTATTCTGATTAAGAACAGGGCTGCCCGCACTGACGCGGCTCAGGGATTACGTCACACGCAGCGTCTTGCGCAGTGCCCTAGTGCCTTTAAATTTAATGGTCCAATGAAGGTAATTTAAGAAAACAGGACATTTCCTCACTTTCTAAAAAAAAAAACTGGGACGCCCGGGACAGGATGTGAAATACGCATATGTCCTGGGAAAACTTTTTGGTCACCCTACATTAAAACCTTAATTTTCTCTTGTATCAAGAAGATCTTTCTATAAAAGGAAGGGCTTTTTACAATATGCTGAATTTAAAAACTAGGGCATCATTATGCTTTACAAATGTATTGTACTGAAATAAATGGTGACTAAATAAACAAAAACATGTTTTCTTAAACATTTAAGTTTATTTATATGATATAACTAAAGAGGAACATATTACATTATGGAATAAAAACAAAATCTAAATAAAATACACATGAAACATACAATAAAACACATGATTTCCAATAAGCAGAGATTTAAAACTGTCATTAAAAGACAGGGTATGTCGCTCTAACATGCTGTTATACTATTTAACACTTCAACAAAGTGGATGCTAACTGCTAACTATGTTTTTATGTACCGGTAATCCAAGGCTTTGTGGTGTCAGCAGTACTTTTAAATGGGTGGTTATGGTTAAAATGTGGCCCCATAAAGTGCATTAACTAGTAAAGGTCTCCTTATCTACTGTTTTAATTTTAAGGATATAGTTTTCTATAAGGTTAATAATGTTTTTAGTAGTGCCATCCACTTTTCTATCACCACATCCTACCCTTCCAAGCACAGTAGAGAAAGGAAAGCTCCACCATGCAGCTCGGCTAAATGGGAGCTATTTTGGTTATAATGGGAAGATTTCTGTGAAGACCCCCGCTTTCCACTTTAAAAAAAAAAAATGCACAACCCTGTAGCCTCTCCCGAGAGGGAACGACCATTAAATGCAACAATTAAATGTGTGTGAGAGCATGCAGGAGCCCATTTCTTTATTCTGGGGTTAATAGGCAAACTTCAAACCAAAACTTGTTTATCTTTGGCACAAATAAAACCCTCTCCTTACCGATTGCTATGATAGTAGGAAAAAATTTGATATCCTTTTTTTTATCAACTGAATTTCAGTTTTTAACTCCAAATATTCACCTGCTGTGTGTTTTTATCATTTCCATCAACGTCTGAACTTGGCTCCTTCTGTCTGTCCTTTTTCAGGTGTTTCCTTCAACAGTGTTTACACTCAGATATGGAGAGTGCTGCTCCACCTAGCTGCAGATCCTTTCCCAGAGGTTTCAGATTTGGCCATGAAAGTCCTCAACAGCATCGCTTACAAGGTTTGTAGTGTGTAAATCTACTGATTATGTGATGATTGAATGTCTTTTCAATTGAAGACAGAATGTAATAGCTGATGAGTAACTCTTGTTTATGCTCAAGAATATCAGAATTCAGACATTTAAACTACATTTTATTGTAGTTTATAAAACATAAAAGTGCACTTTACCTAATGTGTCCATATGGAGTCTGGGTTTGTGTACTTACAGCTCAAAAGTTTACACACCCCTGTTAGAATGCCTGATTTGTGATATGAGAAGATGAGATCACAGTAAACTAATATTTTTTTCACTCAGACATCTGTTTCTGAAGCCCCCTGGACACCTTCCTTTGGGCAATGTTGACGACAAGTTTGAGTAAAAAATAAATAGAAATTTAAAAAACTGTGTTTTGGATAACAGTAAAAGCCGCCAATGAAAGGTTGCATTAAATCTGTCATTGTCTAAAGGGAAAACCGGTGCTCTGGGGTGGTACCTGGCTTCCACAGTCAAGATGTCTACCACTCGCTTCAAAAGTAGTTAAACTTTCATACTTTGTTTGTAGCAGTTTTTTATTATATACGCAGCATTAAGTCAGTTGTTCAGGTACAACATGTGCGATCGTTAAGGTTGTAACAGTAAACAAAATGGCCGCTAAGAACACAAAGGTCTGCAAACTGAAACTGGAGTGCATTTACCTGTGAGATTACATCACTGCAACTCATTACATTTTAGTTCAGAAGACAAATGAAACCCACCAGTAACATTAACAGTCATGGACCAGTAGTACCTGAAGCAAGTGCCTTCCAAAGGTTCCTGGGTTCACACTGATTGCTTAATTATTAGAATTAGGGGAATGCACTCACTGTTTTTACTGTTAGTCCCTTTACTGTTTGTCTTAACACAAAACACTTTGATGCATATTTGGAACAATATGCATCATGGTGTTAAATTATAAAAGCAGTTGAAAAGGCTAGATGCAACAGTTGATGAGGAAGATTAGATTAGAGCTATCGCAACACAGTCTCTCTATAAGAGATTCTTTCTTTTAGTCATTTTTAACATTTAGGCTAGCAAAAAAAATCTAACTAGGCTCCCTTTTTTCTACAATCTCCACTCATGTCAAAGTACCCATTTTGCCCAATTTTAGTTAAGAAGCTGTGTGCAGCATCTCAAATCCAAATTGATCCAACAAAGATGAGGAAAGGAAGAACCAAACCAACTCTTTTTTTAGGGCCTTTTCTTCATCAGTGCAACTAAGCATGCCCCTGATACTAAAACTAGTTAACTGTATGTCATCTAAGTCAGTAAAAGCCTCCACATCAAAGGGTGTTATTGATACCATTCTCAGGTTAATGATAGGAAAAACAAATAGGATTTATTGTTTGTGTCCCTCCATCAGCAGCAAGGATTATTCAGGCTTAAAATAGTTTGGTTTAAGTTGTCAGCTGATTTTTTCTTATTTTTTTCTTCCTGCCTCAAAAATGGTTCTGGTCTAGTTTCATAATAAAACACATAATGCATCAGTTAGCTCTATGAGGACCAACTTTATTTATTTTTTACCCCGGACAGGTTATTTTTAGAAGCATTAACAACAGAAATGTCTCTACGGGTTGTAAAAGTGGCTGCATCCTGCCACAATCGAGCACAGGTTGATTTATTTTCCTGCAGGAAGACCTGAGCAAAAAGCACTCAATCAAAGACTCTCCACTAAGGTTCACGAGTATTAACATCAGCTTAACAGGAAATCCAACTCTTTTAATTAGGATTTTGAATGTCAGATGTTATTGATTTCTAACAAAGTAAACAAGGTCAGCAGCTAATTAAAATGTACTTGCTTTTTAAATAGAACTGAACATTATTGTCCCAACAGGGACATTTTGCTCTGTGACTGAACGTATGACCCTGGCCATTTCCATTGACCTGTAAAAGAATAAACAAAACAAAACAAAAGGCAACTTAGACACAGAATCCCTTTGAAAATAGACTTAGAAAAAGACAGAATAAACTGCAATACCCTCTGCAGCTCATGGCTTCTACACATCCCTATACGCCAACATTACATCATTTATAAGGATACGATAAATAAATTATTTACTGATGGGTTTAATGTATTTATGGGTTTCAAGCAATTGTGGAAACATTCACCCCAGTTAAGTCCCACTAACCATTCAGGACAGATTTGACATCAACAGCTAAAAAAATAATGCTTCACCATGTTTTCAAGAAACTTTTGGTGCAGATGACAGACTTTATATTATTATTTCAAAGCCATTCAAAGCTTCTTATCTTAGTAAAAGTGCTGGATGTTTGCTGTTTCCTCACAGATACAGGAGGTTCAGCATCTTTCCCTCTAAATTATCTTTCATTTCTTACATATGCTTTAAAGCACTTTATCTGTTTCTTTTCTGTAAATGTTATGTAAATTGGAATTTGTCAGTCAAATTTACAGTAAGATATATATATATATATATATATATATATATATATATATATATATTTTTTTTTCCCCAGCCTGGTCTGAGAACCTATTTNAATTATCTTTCATTTCTTACATATGCTTTAAAGCACTTTATCTGTTTCTTTTCTGTAAATGTTATGTAAATTGGAATTTGTCAGTCAAATTTACATATATATATATATATATATATATATATATATATATATATATATATATACTTTTTTTTCCCCAGCCTGGTCTGAGAACCTATTTAAATATGTTTCTATTCTATGGTAAATTAAATTTTGCTGAATACTTTGTGCTTTTAACAAGAATATCATGAGCAGTTATGCTTGTGTAGGAGCAGTCGGGTCCTAACGGGATCAGGGGGTGCAGCTGGTACAATAAGCCGCAGACAGGTCTCAGTGTGTCATAAATACAAGCATCTTCCTGATGTTAGCTGTAGATCATAAGTCAGAAAAAGCCTCCACATCAAAGAATGTTATTGATACCATCCTCAGGTTATTGATAGGAATAACAAATAGGATTCATTGTATTTATTACATCAGCAGCAAGGATTATTCAGACCTAAAATAGTTTAGATTGTCAACTGATTTATTTATTTAACCTGTTCTACTGTTAACTGAGACAGCTAAATACAGGTCAGCGTAAGACAGGAGAGGTTGAACTCATCCAATGAGTCTCACCTGAAGAAGCTGATAATTTCAATGGTCCTCGAACTCATCAGCTATTAGGATGTTTTAAGGGGACTCCTACCACAGCCTCTGCTCCATCATATTCCAAACATGTTCTGTTTGCTGGGTTGACTGGGTTTCAAGCCAATATGCGATGATTGAACTGCTGGGTGGCAGAAGAAGCTGTTTCCCAGTGTGAAGCAAAGCAGCCAGTAGGAACCATTACCCCAGTTTACCACCAGCTCTGCTGTGTTTGCATGTAAAGCCAATCAGGTGTGTGGCCTCCACTGTAAATGTAATGAGACTTTAATGAACAATCCATGGATAAGTTGCATAAATGGGTCAGGTTATGCAATGATTTTTCAGCTCCTGGTTTCTATCACCTGTTTGGTGTTTAGTTTGTCCTCTGTTCCCCAGGGTCATCCTCATCCCTACCTGGTTAAAAATGATTTTATTACTGTAGATGAAGTTTATTTTCATAAAAGTGCTGCTGCATAATGGCTGTACACTCTGATCAACGTCACAGAAATTAGCATTCCTATTAGCTGCTTATCTGCTTTCTCCTTTGCACAGAATCTCTCTTCAGTCTATTTTAATCTAATGGCATCTTGATGCGTGGCCTTTATCTCATATCTTCTCCCTCTGTCATAAACACTGTATGTTTTATACAAAATCTCTGTCTTACATTAAACTTCCCTGCCCCCCCTCCAGCCTTTTTAAATGCACAAACAAACAAAAGCTGCTTGCTACAATTCTGTTATTAGCATAGAAATCAAATCCCAGCCAGTGAAATGTGTTCTCCTTTGCTAACAAGATTTAAGGAGCCCAGTTTTCTCCGCAGTAAACAACAACTCCGCTATTCATCAGTGATGCTTCACCTGCATTGTACTTATTAGGTTTACCCCTCCCTCACGCACCATCGTTAGACACCTTAGAATGAAGAGGCTATATTACCTGCTTCACCTAATGAGATAAAGTTCTGGAAATTTAGGCAAACTTTGTAAAGAGCTGCACTTCTTATGCAGCTACAACAGGAGGAGGGGGCACCACTTTCTGTCTCTTAATGTTGGACTTTAAGTTTTAAAACCGGTTTCTTCTTTTTAACTTCACAAAACAGCACTGCAGTATCTTATCTGTTTTTCTCTCCAGGCGACGATGAACGCAAGACCTCAGAGGATTCTGGACTCTGGATCGTTGACGCAGTCTGCGCCAGCCAGTCCCACCAGCAAGGGCACCCACATTCATCAGGCGGGGTGAGGAAAGAGCCTCTTACACACAGGAGGCCTGTGAAGTTCATGAAATGGATTTATCATGAACTCCAGGGACACATGCGTCAATGGGCTTCTTGTTATTTAAGAAAAACAGTTGGATGTCATAAGCATCATTAGTAATGAGGACATTAAAGCTGCAGTAAAGACTCATGGTTTAAGTTCTGATTTATAGGAGCCAACCGTTTCTGCACAGATTAGGTTTTCAGGTTGTTTGTTATACATTTTTTCAGAAAGTGAAACTTATTTGTGTTAAAAAAGTCTTCATGCATCAATTGAAGTATTTCAAGCCTCTATTTCTTGCATTTTTCCCTTTATGGTTTCAAAATTATATATAAAATGAGATCAATAAAACAGCATCTCTATGGGGTTCAGGTGAGGCCAGTTTGAGGGTCAATTATTACAAAAACACCACGGTCATTGAGCCAAGTTCTGCTCCCCTATGGCTGGAAGACCTGTTGGCAAAAAAAAAAAAAAGAGCATCTACTTAAATTTCTCAGTGGAAGAAAGCTCTATGCTCAAAGCAACGTTTCCTGGTAGATGAGTGCTTCCTTCTGCTGATTACATTTTTCAGAAGTTCTTGGCATCAGCCCACCGTGTCAAAGGTACCAAATGCTGGTTCAGTCACCATGATGTTACTCTGCTGGACTGACCTGCTAACTCTGCTGACCTGAACCCCATAGAGCAGATGTTTTTTTTAACATTAGTCAAAAACCCATTCAGGTTCTGTTCATTGACTAAAATAATTTTTATATTTTCTAAAAAAATAAAAAGAAACACATAAATTATTAATTCTTTTCTGTTGTATTTGGTATAATTATTTCCTGCATTTATAATCTTTTTAAACAGATTTAGCAAAAAGTGCATAGCATTTTTAAAATTAGAGGTAAAAACTGTTTTTTTTATTTACTACATTCTCCTCTGCTTCATTTTGTGCTGGTTAAAAATACTGAATAAACATTTAAACACCGCTCCTCTCTAAACAAGACCTTGCAATGTATTGTAAATCAGTGTTGTAGTACTTCAGCATTCAAACCTTATCATGTCTCAGCCTCAGACAATGAGCTTTTTATTTCAAGAAGTGTGGAAATGCCATTTAATGCATCCTTTAAATCGTAATTTTAACTCTGATGGAAAATATTTAAGATTCAATATAAGCAGTAATAATCTTATTGCTTTTTATGTCACTGTGGTAATTTTTCCACCCAGCAGACAGGCAGCCTCTTCATTGCTGTCATTAGGAAACGGTCTCACCTGAAGAACAAACTGCACTTACCGTACACCTTGGGTTTGCTTTTACTTGCAGACGTCCCACTCTCTGGGCCTCTGATGTGATGTACTTATAGTCCTTCTAGGGACCTGTTGTATATTCAATTCAGTTTTTCAATTCAGTTTATTTATATAGCACCAATTCACAACACATGTCCTATCAAGGCACTTTACAGTTCACCAGATCATCCAGTCAAATTGATTCAAAGTTTCTATTTAAGGAAAACCAGTTGATTGCATCGACTCATTGACTCGGATGCAATCCCTCACACTAAGCATGCTTGTAGCGACAGTTGAGAGGAAAAGCTCCCTTTTAACAGGAAGAAACCTCCAGCAGAACCAGGCTCAGTGTGAGCGGCCATCTGCTGAGGCCGACTGGGGTTCAAGGAGACAGAAGCAGAGATACAAAAAGCAGCTGTAAAAGGGCAGCCCCATCCAGGAAACACACAGCCATGCAGACGAGCTCTGAGCCAGCTCCCATTTTAGAGGATGAAGACAGCAGATCCAGCCAGTCACAGTCAGAGACACAGGACTACACTGGAAAACAGGCCAATCTCCAACATCTATAAACAAAGGTGTTGATGGCAGCAGCACAGCTGATATTTCTCTCCAGGATGGAGTCACAGCCAAACAGCAACAGACGAGGCAAAGCTACTCTGAGAAAAGGAACAGAGAGCATAATGTTAGATTGTTATATCTAGATTAAGTCATAATAGCTGTAGGACGTGGCTCAGGCTGGAGATGCAGTTAATAAATAAAAGACCCTCAACTACTAAAAAAAGTTCTGACCAGAACATTTTGAACTCAAATCAAAACACGTAGAAAAATGTAAATTAATTAGAAATGAGAAATATTTAAATTTAGAGAAAATTTCAATGTGACCTGATATGCATGCATCATATTAATGACAATATCTTTCTATCCTTAATGAGTAAATAATCAAATCACGTTTTAAATTGAAGTTATTAGTAAACTTAAAGTACATATTTTAAATCAGAATCAGAAATAATTGAATTATCCCAGAGGGAAATAACTTTTTGTTACACGCTCCAGTTACAGTTTTATATTTATATATATATATATATATATATATATATATATATATATATATATATATATATATATACACACACACATACATGCTCTCCTACAAATCAAAGTAAACGTCATTCTTATATTCTAAAAGTCTTAGTTCTGTCTCCATCTTGATTCACTCTGGTGTCGGTCTTGACTTGATCTCAGGTTTGGTGGTTTTGACAACAACACTGATATAAATTTAACTGAACAAACGTGGACAAAGAGCTTACTGCTAAAAGAACGGATAAAGGCTGGTTGTAATGTTTTCTTTTACTTAATTTTTCCAGCGGCTCTCCACCTATGCCTAGTACCAGTAGCTCCAGCCTGACCAATGAAGTCCCCAAACCTCCTCCCAGAGAGCCGCCAGCAACACGCCCCCCCTACACCCCAACTCTGGGAGGACAGGCGCCCCACTCACACCAGTTCCCTCGGACACGCAAGATGTTTGAGAAGGGACCAGAACAGGTATCTCCTTAACAAAAAACTAGACATCCTCATCACTAGACCTCCTCATCACTAATCATTTCTGTTGTGCTTTGATTCAGGCAGCTGAAGATGGCGAGGAGCCTGGTGGTCACAGGAACTACGTCAGTCTGGCTCTGCAGACGGGTTTATGTGACTGGAGCGCCAAGTACTTTGCTCAACCTGTTATGAAGGTTGGTGCCCTTTTTTTTAATGCTCCTCTCTCATGCTTTAGAAGATGCTGCAAATAAACCTGCTGTAGGACCATTTCTTATGAGCAATTGAATGTTATCAGTTGAAGATGCTTTACTTTGAAAGTCAGCTTGAAAATAGTCTGAGTGCAGTTTGTCAGAGATCCTAACTGTGAAGCATGGGGGTGGCTGCGTCATTGTGAGTGTTTTCTACAACTGGACCTGATGGATAAGTAATGAGAAAACACCATATTAAAGAACATCTAGGGCCATTTAGCTTAGCTACAAATGGATAATCTAAATGGCCAATAACCCTAAAGCTGGGCGTACGCTGTGCGATTATCGGGGCGATTTTCCAGTCGTGCGAGAATTTTTTGATCAGGCCCACTTTCAGCCTGATCATGAGTCGTGTAATTTACAGGGGGTTACGAGGGGCGATCAGCCTCTCACGAACGCCTCCCGATCAGGAATCGTGAGGTTCCCGACCGTTGTGGGCAAATCGCTCAGTGGGCATGAGCAAACAAGGATTGTCCTTTTTCTTCTTCCTCTCAGATATAAACCCAGAAGCATGGCGGGGGAGCAATGAGTGAAATGAAATTCTTTCTGTAAAATTGACAGACCATAGTAGCTACGTTTGCTTAGCCATGTCTTTGCCCAAACCGTGCGGTTTAGTTGTACAGGGTGAGCGGTAGCTGTGTGCAACAATTGAAAATATCGCAACCATAGGCATGGCCTTGGAAAGTGGCAAGAGGGAGATTTAATCAACACAAGTTCATGGAATATAGGATGTCATTGTAACGTCAAACAAGCTAGAGTGTCGTATCCCGCTTGTGGCAGTTGACTTGTAATTAAGGAGGAAATATGGCACAAAAACTAATTTTGAATTCGTCTGCTTATGAGAGACTTTATCTCTACGACCTCAGAGTGCACCTCAACAATTAGACACCTTTAATTAGGCAGGGCACCCTGCCTGTTACTAAGAGTAAGAGCATGTTAAGTAAGAGCTCTTTCATATCTATTCGCCCAGTTTAACTTAACCATGGTATTTGGTGTTATTTTGATCTTAGATTCCTTCGTAATGAAAAAAAAATTATGGAAAAATAGAATAATTGAATAGTATAATAATATAATAATTTCCTTGTGGTTTGCTTTTAAGGATTTTGGAGCCAATAGTCTCACGTTTGACATAAACACCGTGTGTCAGTTTCATCCCAGCTAAACCAAATCTACATTGTGAAGTTTAATTAATAGTGCATATATTCATCTGAGAACTGATGATGATGATGTTATAGACCTTGGTTGCGTGCACTGAAATGTATATGACAATAAAGTAGTGAATCTCAATCTATTTACTTATTTATTTTTATTGTGTTTTAAAGGCCTATAGGCTCATAGGACTTCTGTCTAAAACAAACAAACCCTGTTCAAAGTACTTCCAGTGGCCCTGACCAAAAGCGTTATATTTAAGGAGAGAAAAAAGCTCATGGAGCATTAGCTAAAGCATTTCAGTTTCCCAGTTTATAATAAATTCTTTCAAATGTAAATGAAATATGTCGACTTCTGAAATAGAAGCATGCACAAAAAATTATGAAAATCATTCAGACACTTAGAAAATATCCACATTTTAAACTCCCTTCCTGATTTTAATCAGCAAGTATGTTATTGATTTTTAAGACAGACTGCAGATAAAGGTAATATTTGTTTTAATAAAGCAAATATACACATCTAATTTCAGCTGTATTCCACAGGTAGATGTTTAATTGTGAATGGGCTGTTTTTATTTCGTACTTTTAAAGTGTTTCTGATGTCTCAAAAACTATAAGAATCTAAAAGTTAAACTCTCACATTCAAAGAAACATTTTTACATCTCTTTTTAAGCTGCGTTGTGTATTTTATTAACACACACAATCACCCATAAGGGGATCAGACACAGATCAGCCGTCAGTGTCTTTCTAAGGCCCTTTCAGCTCTTCTATCTATGGAGCCAAGGATCAAACCAGTAACCCTTTGACTGACTGACAAATACTCTGCTTTTATATTTATCAATCGTTGTTGCTAAGCAACAGTGAAAAGAATATGACCGGTTATTTTCCGTTTTCACATATTCATGTGAATTTTCATCATAGCTGTTTGTTTATGCCCGTTCTGCTGAGGTTTAGGAACGTGGTGATCCATTCAGGTACAGAGAGTCGGGGGTTTTTAAAGTTTATTTTAAAAAGTAATAAACTTGTAGAGGAAATGGTAAAGTAGGGACCAATCACTGGGAGGAGGAAACACCTGCTTCCTATTGAAGATGGCTTTGCTAAATAATTAAGCTCTCTGAGCTCCATAATGTAACATCTTCCATGGGGAAACTTTAGATTTAGAGCAGTGATTTTGCTATGCCTGGTAGTTGGAAATTAAACCAGGATGATAGCATAAGCCCTGATTTAGAAGATCTGATGCATTTTGTTGCACATTTTTAAAAAGCAGATGGTTGTTTACACCATGTTTAATATTCCTTTTCTTTATCATCTGTATTAGTTTTTATTTATTAACTAACCTAATGTTACCTTAAACAAATATCCATATTAGAAAAAAGATTAAAAAAACAAAATCTAAAAGGAAAGCATTTGGAAACATGTTAAAGAAAATAAAAGTACAACCAATTCCGTCCAGATTTCAATATTCTTGATATTTAATTTCACTTCATTATCAAAAGCGAATTTTTTAATTGCAGTGGACAGATTTTTTTTTACGGGATAAGTATTCTTATATTATGGTATTTACACAAACATTCAAAGCAAAGGTATTTAACTACCAAGGGCAAAAACCAGTATAATAATTATGTCAATATTTATATATGTCATTGTTTCAAATGTAAAATTACATTGGTATTTGTAAATATTTGTTTGCCCAAACAATTTAATGAATAAATACATGATATACTATTTTAATATGAATTTATCACTGCAGTATGTCTTGCTGTACACAATCCAGTCCCTTTAAGAAGTGTATCTGGTCTTTGGCCGGAATAAAGCCTGGAAAAGGGAAATTATCTGGGTAGATAAGTATCGAATCACTCCTGGAAAGGGAGCTAATTTCAGATTTGATGAAATGTGAATTGAACAAATTCTATCAATGAATACATGAAATGACTAAATTGGAATTTATTTATTTATTTATTTAATGGGAATTAAAACAAATACATTGGCATCCCAATTGCTTATGTAGAAATCTTGATTGCTGAAGTTCTTGTTATCTTATTTATTAAAATCAAAACCCTTTTAATCCCTGGTCAAACAGCTGATGGTAAACCAAAACACTCATTTTTCTTTCTTGGATCTTACTGAAAGTAACATTGTACTGTAGGCTTTAATAAGTAACTGCAGGGGTTTTATTAAAGGCTGGAAATCATTAGTGCACTGAAATAAAGAGTAAATATCAAAAGCCTGACATATAAGTTGCCAGTTTAAGTCCCACTGGAAACAGACTCCAGCTGAGTTCCTAATGGCCTAAAGGCATTTTAGTCGGTACAACGTATTGGTAACATTAGCTCACTCTCTAAAGATCAGAGCCACTTTTAAGAGTACTGTTATGTAGCTCCAAACTAATTCCAGTACACGCAGAATAAATATCATTGCAGTGCTATATTTAACTGCAGATAGTAAATGGTAATGATAGAGGTCTTTCATTAATCACTCTTCTCTTATTTCACTGCTGCTATTAAAAACACTGTCAATAACTAATGGTCTAATGAGAAAAAGGGGGGAGCACATTACAGTACTTTCTTAATCCCTAAATAGCATTGTGTTTACTTCTTCAAAGTGTTCCTGAACTTTGGAGACAAGTAGAGCACAGATGCAGCACCGTGGCATGACATGTGAGCAATACTTCGTTCATGATGTTTTTAGCATTCTTTGAGTTTTAAATAACTAAAATAAGCTGAGGTATTTTAATATGAACTTGGTGTTAGAGGCGTGTGAAAGGTGGAACTTGGTGCATCATGGATCGTCCTTTAGAATCACAGCAATCCATGCAATAGGAAAAAGTTGCAATCAAGTGCAATATAACCCTAACAAATTTGTTTTTAGTCTTGATTTTAAAAACTTTGGGTTTAAGTAATTTTTAAGTTTTTTTGGGAGCTTTTCCAGATTAGCTGAGCTTTAAAACTAGAAGTAGTCTTTCCATTTTTTGGTCTGGTTTGGGTATGCTGAATAGATTCGAGTCAGAAGACCTAAGAGTTCTGGGCGGTTAATATACTGACATTTCTGTGCTACTGTAAGCTATTTAGTGATGTGTAGACTGTCAGAAGTATTTTGAAGTTTTTTCACTGAGATATGGGGTGCCAGTGAGATGATTTTTGAACCGTGGTAATGTCTTAAGTTTTTTTGTTTTGGTGAAGATGAGGGCAGCACCAATCTGGATCAACTGCAGTTGTTTTTCATGCAGACCTGTCAAGGAACCATTCTATTAATCATTTCTACTAAAGAAGAATTCATGTTTATTCTATGTCCTGCAGAGACATTATTCCTTTAATATCAGACATGTTCCTTAGGTGATAGAAGGCTGACTGTGTTGCTATCTTTACATGCCTCTGAAGGGTTAGGTCTGCATCCATTACTACACATTTCTAGCTGTATTAACTGAAACTGTGTGCTGACTTTTAAGCACTCTTCTTTTGGTCCAAGACCAAAATTACTTCGGTTTTGTTTTGATTCAGCTGAAGAGATGGACAGTTCTGTTCTCGGGAAGTCGTGACCTACAAAAATGAAGAATGAGCCACTGATAACATTTCTGATTGGTCCTTAAAAACCCAGTGAACTATGTGTTTCACTGTTGGTGTCTCTCCGATGGGATGTGTCATTATTTAGTGTCCAATCCCTACATTTGAAGTAGCCTGCCAGCTCTTCACTGCAACAACTACAGACAACCTTGACCCTTGAAAAGAGAAATTTTCCCAGTTTCTCCTAACCTTGTGACTCACACAATACAGATAACTTTTAATTTTTTGTTGCAAGTAA